CGCTCGGCAGATGCCAACCTACAACGGGGGCCAGGAACGAGCGGATTCGCCTCCGGAGCAGCCCACAGGCTCCAAGCGAGTCGCTGCTCCGTGTCAATCGCAGACAGCCTGGCAACAGGGTATGGAGATGTACAGGCTAATGGCATCAAGGAAAGCAGGGGGGAGTGTGCTGAACGGGCTAGAGCAGCAAGATGTTGCCAGAATTGTGCAGCACCTGCCAGTCAGGAGTTAAAAATAGAAAGGAATGGGAGGAACGAAGGAATAAAAGTTCCAAGAGAGGGAAAAGGCAGTGCTGGTACTTGCAGGGAGGACAAAAGACAGAGAGCAACTCTGCTGGTTCGTGTGGAAGGACTTGGGGAAAGCAGTCCCGTGGATGGGATAGCGTGAAGCAGGCTGGCATCTTGTGGACACGACACGAGAGAGGCCACAAGGTAAGGAAAAGCACAGGTAACATCCTGAGAAAGTGCAATAATTTGGACAATTCTAAATTGCCAAGAGCCCATCCACATGCACTAGTCACCAACGTGTCTCCTTTTGCCCCACTTTGTCTTCCAAGAGGGTAGCTAACTCTACAAGCACTTCATCCTATGTCAGGTGTGATCCCTCTGCTTCTCCTCAAGAATACCTCAAAATGCAAAGAAAAGACATGATTAGGAAAAGACAGATCTCCCCGCACACTAGGAGGGACCACCTAGAGCTCACCATTAATTTAAGTGGTCTTGTTTCACTCTGCCCACGTTCATGGCATGCCCAAGAGTTGTCCTACACCTTACCTGAATGACAGTGGGGAGAACCAGCTCTGGGAAGCCAATGCTGCAGGCCTGGCAATGGACATATTCCAGTATCAGGTCGTAGAGCTGCTCAATGAGCCCATCCTGAGCAGGGAAAACAAGAAATAGAGATATCGAGAGTCAAATCCTTCACCTCCCAGGTTAGGAAATAAGTCTCCAATGCTATGGAACAGAATCACAAAAAACATCTCTAAGGCAATTTCTGCTGTTTATAGAGAAATTTTTCTTCTCAAGGTTTGTGCTGGTGGTAACTAGCATTCCACTTACTCGGAAGGCTTTCTCCTGCAGGTTGGCATTAGAGAGCTTCAAGATCACTGCAAAGTTTATGGGCTTAGAGCTCATACGTCCTGGCTTCTTGTTGAAATCCACTTGCTGGAAAATCTGCGACAGAAGAAATTGAGTTTAAAGATGATCACGCCCCAAAACAGGACACATGGCAATGAGAGGTAGCTACCCTTTGGTAGCAAGGCTAAGGGGACAACCCAGAAACTCCAATTCCTGCTTGCCTGTTCTGATCATATTCCACAGCCTTAGTGCCCTATAAAGGGACAGTTAAAGAGGAAATAAAAAGCACCCCTGAAGAGATCTGAGAAAAACAGATGCTATAGAAGTGAGGCAAAATGAAAAAAACAGTGCAAGAAACTGGAAATCTATTCCTCAGCAGATCCACACTTCTAATTGTCAGAAAGATGGTACTAAAAGCTTGAGTGTATTTTGGAGCTGTCCCTTAAGATGAGTTGCTTTTCCATGGCAAGATCAAGTGTTCCTTAAAACAAATCCATTATCCTTTTGCTGTCAATGGAAGAATTGCCCGAATTCTCCCAGGCAGGAGAGGGACCCATTAAGCCCTTTTCACAAACACCCCTTGCCAAACAAGGCTTCTGTTCAAACACATTTTCCCCCTGGAGCCCCTTGTATCAGTTACACCTTTTGAATAAGGACATTTTATTTTCTGTGGACACACTGAATTTTACAGCAAGGGGCACGGGAGAAACTGCCCCTTTTGCAGGTGGATACCCAACGTTCTGGTGCGTAAATGCCAAAGTTCTGCTTTGGGGTTTTTCTAGGGCTTGTTTAACAATTTACAGCGGGGAGGAGCAGTACTTCTGAAAGGGAAGGTACAACACGTATGTACTACATAAAAGAAGGGGGGAAAAAGGAAGCTTGGACATAGCTGCGTGGCCGACTCCAGGGTGACATCCCAAGGTTGGTCTTAATAAAGAAGTGCCGTCACTGCCTTCAAAGGTTCCACGTTGCAAGCAAGGCCAAAGGCTTTGGACATCCTTCCCCTACCCCTTCTTTTCATGAGGAGTTTCCCAGCTTTACTGGGCGAAGGATGGTGTGAATCAACAAGAACTTCCCTTATTCACTTCCCGGAAAGGCAGCATCTAGAATTTCCCCCTCACCTCAACCACACTCAGTTCTAGAACCCCCAACCTTTTTTTTGCAGCTCAATCTCGCACAGGAAACATTTTCCCTTCGCTCTGTGAAGCACCAAAGCACTCAGCAGCAGAGCCCAAGGAGCCCAACAACAGGGGAATGCAGCAGACTGATTGCCTGGTGATTAGTGGGGGCAAAGAAGGTCGTTTGGGTCACACGGATGCCCCCAGGCCAGAAAAGCACAGAGACGACTATTGATTTTTTTGTATTTTATTCCTCGGCCCAGGTTGTCTGGAAGGGAGGGACAAGCTTGGTGCCTTGCGAAAGCAAAGAGCCCTGGCTCGCCGAGGGAATTGAGGCTATAAACCTCGTTATGCACACTTATTTCTTTGGCCAAAAAAGCAGTATTGATCCCCCAAGGTCGGATGCATTAAAGGAAATGGTGTCAGGCTCTGCAGGATCCTAACACAACACTAGGCGAGCAGGGAGATGCAGCCAGAGGGCTTAAAACCTCCCTCCCAGGAGGTGCTAGGGGGGCTCTTGGAGAATGTGAGAGGCAAGAAAAACACCTTTCCCAGCCCAGTCCTGAGAAGGAGGAATAAACTAATAGAGAGGGTGACATGGAGGGAGCCTGTGGCAGACTGGAAAGGCAGAAGTAAATTCCAGACCCCTAGCAACTCCCATTTTGGATACGCAGCTTCCTTCAGAGAGACTAAAATCATTTAAACAACACAGCAAAAAAAACTGATTCCTTTCTAAACATGTCAAGGTTAACCTTCCTCCTCAGACTCTGCAGAAATTAATTTTACATGGGCATACCAAGCGTGCCCAGAGGGAGATTTCCAACTTGCTCAACCACACTCGCCTTCCAGCAAGGGAGCCACCAGGTCTCCCATAGAGAAAATAGTGCCAGTCACAAAATAAATGAAGCACTGAGAAAAAATAGAAAATCAACAAATTAACAGGCCCTTCAAGGGGAAGAACAATACATAAACAAAAACTTTCCTGCTTTGCTCTCTTTCCCAAGGCCTCTCCTCCTATTTGAGAGGTATTTTATCAGGATTCTCCTTCCTTTGACCTCCCTGCATCTCAGTCACCCTGGGTTATAGAAGTTGAAGCGATATAATTGTTAATGGGAAGGAATATGCAAATAGAACAGCAGTCAAAGTGTCAAGGGTCAGAAAGGGAAATTGGGGGGAAGGCTCTGGAAGGAAAAGGTTTCATGTCTGAGAGCATTAAAAAAGCATAAAAACCTCCAAGTCCCATTATCTCACAAAATGTAAAGGAGATGTTTCCATCACCGAATCTGCTTGGCAGAATTTCAAGTAGGAATGAGCAAGAGGAAGGAAGCAGGCAGAGGCACACGAGCCAGGGAGCAGCAGCAGGCAGGGGACAGGCAGGAGGAGATTTATAAACATCCCTGGCTTCCACAGACTCGGAGGATGTGGTTTGCAAAGGACGTTTACAACAACATAAAACCACAAAAGCCTTTGCTTCAACAGAACCCAATTAGGAACGAGCCTGGCTGGCTCAGACCATTTAATACAGCAGTCTCCTTCACTCCTCCCCTCCTAACCTCCAGCCTTGTGCTGATCCACTGTAGATTTACATCGCAGAAAAATAACCCTGACTATTTCAGGATGGAAACACATTCATTCTCAAGAGTTGCATTGTCTTGGAATGAAGGTTGTCTTCTTCCCAACAAAACCTTCACGTCTTGGAATGAAGGTTGTCTTCTTGGTTGTCTTCTTCCCAACAAAACCTTCACCTTCACTTAGGTATCTTGAGTCAGAGTTCTAGAAAAGCCTTTTTTTTTTTTTTTTTTTGCATCCAGCTCTCTCAGATACTCTTAATTCCCAGGCCAGTAAAAGTTAATCCTATTTACTAACCCCACAGTATGTCCTGCCTGATGGTGTTTGCTGGGGATTTTAAGAGAGCTGAGCAAAGCAGGCAACCTTGGCAGCTCGTGGCCCCAGGGAGCAGCTCTTGCTACCTCGCTGGGCACTGACCCACCTCCAGGATGAAGGGCAAGACCGGGATGAAGGTCCGGGTGCTTTCAGAGAGCAGCGTGAGCGCCCGGACACAGTGCATGCGCAGCGGGTAGAAACGAGTCGTGGGGACCAGCCTGGGGAGGAAACACAGGAAAGGAGATTAGACAAAGCTGATGAAAACCGGTTCTATAGCCCTCTAAGACACTTCAGTGTCTTCTTGTCCTCTTTAGAAAACACAGGCAGCTTTAGCACAGCAGACCGTACGAGCTGCTCAAAATATCCCATAGTGGGAAACAATTTGCACATGTTAAAGGTGTAAGACTTTAACATGAGTTTCTCAGCTTCTGCAGTTAGTTGGACAGACTGCTGCAGTCTCCTCTGGCTTTGGTCTCTAATTGCTCCTCTTACATCCTTATCTTCCAAGTGAATTGATGGGAAAGAGCCTGTATCTAATCTAGATACAGTTTGACTGGAGTATCTGCAAGCTCTGTGGGCAAGTAGCATTCAGGGGAAGTGTACACTCAGCTACCCAAGGTAATGAAATCAAAGCATCAAGGGTGGGAGAGTGGAGGGAGCAGTGCCCCAAAATGAGAGACTTGGGAATTAAGCACATTATTGTTTCTGTTTTGTGCTGCTGAACACTTTTGGATCCCAACAGAGGCAGGTATGTGAGGAAGAGAGGCAGGAACCAGCAATAAATAATAACATTTGGGGATAACAGAGAATGCTGCTAAATGATACAGAGAAATAGCACTGCCTCCTTCAGGAGTGATGTGTACATTTGCACTTCTCACCAAGAATGCTCTGTATTGGAAAGCATTGGTGCTTCCAACATTAACAAGGGTGGATTTCAAAAATGCAATTCCCAGAGAACAGCCTCAAGTCTGATAAACAAACTCCCTCTCCTAAGGGAAAAAAAGCTTGCTGAACAACCCAGGAGAGGAAAAAGTGCCAGACCAAGCATCATAAATCACCCCAATCTTTCCCCCCTCCACCAAATAGCGAAATAATTATCACTGGATCCATTACAGAAATAAATCTACTTTGCACCCTTGATCTGGCACCACTGGAAATGACGAAAGCCATCCTCAGGAATTAATTGATCAAGGGATAAACCCGTTAAATGTATAGATTTACTGTAAACCAAGACCATTAATTTTAGAGTGCTCCGCGATGCAACAATCTGCTAAACTTCCCGATGTCTGGGATGCACAAGGAATACAAAACAGAGCCAAGGGAGGGCAGGCTGCCTAGTCACTCCAGGGCCTAGCCAGGAGGCTCCAACTGCCTCACCCGGATTTACAGCTTGGGCTTTTCATCTCCAAGGAGAGCGTTCCCTAATGTCTTACAACTTGTGTCCGTCAGAGCACGGCTGCCCTACTTCTCTCGTGCAGCCAGGGCATATGCTACGGTGCAGAGAACAGCCTGAAGGCTTTTCAAGGATTATTTTTACTAGCTGCAGCTCCTTCTGTTCTGCTCCTGGCTAACCAGAGCCTTCCTTCAGCTGGAGAGAAGACAGAAAGTGTTTTGTTTTATTTATTTATTAACATCAGTCTCTGCCCCACCAAAACACAGCAGCCAAGGGGATCTGCTCAGGACCATGAGGACCTTCCTTGCATCCCTAGGAGGGGATTGGACCTGCTGGGAGGCCAGGGACTAACACCTAAGGGGCATCACAAATCCTCTTTTAACCATAAGCCAGGCAGGGACTTTGTTTATAGCTTGAACTGGGAGCAAGGTAGAAAAAATCACCCAGACAAGGTCAGAAAAACCTTTCCATGGTGATGGGGAGAGAGGGATAACATGGAGCAGAAGCCTCTGCAGAGCTGCTGTGCACAGAAACATGAACTCAGGCACCAGCAGATGGATCAAATTGAGGCACTTATGCACTATGGAGACCCAGAAAAGCACAAGGCAAAGAAAGGGGATTTCATCTCCTTCTGAACTCTGCAATTTCTACAGTGCTGTCCCCATGGTCAAGCCAATTGCACTCCTTCAGCTATTTTGCTTTTCACAAAGCAATTCCATTAGCAAATTTGGAAGTGAGGCCCCACAGTGGCCCAGGATCACAAAAACACAGAGTTAATTGGGCTAGAAAGGAACCCTGAGAAACCATCAGTTCCAGCAATACCCTGGTTAGCAGCCCCCAAACCACATCTTAAGCACGTGCAACTTGTGGAAACACAGGGACCATCACTGAAATGTGTTATTTAAAATAATCCAATTTCAATACATCTTGCATGCTGGAGAGCAACAAGGGAGAGCCAGAAAACTAGCAAGATAATTTTGATTTTCGCAGACAACCCTCTGCCTATTAGTTATCTTGTTTAAACCCATTTCGAATTCCGCCTTTGTCCCTGCCTGGAGCAAAAAGCCTGGAACGGATGCTAATTTCTCCCCAGTCCCCTCCTGTGACAAGCCAGGGTGGCACTGGGAGCACATCCCCCCTTGCACAGCGACACACACGGCGCTGGCAGCCCCTTTGCTGGGAGCAAAGCGACACCTTCTGGTGCAAGGGACACTTGGAGGAGGACAGTCCTCCTTCTGGATCGTATTTGGGATGGGGAGCACCCACTGCAACTTGGTTTTGCCAATGCATCCCTCTTGCCCCTTCAGGGATCCCAATGCCACACACATAGAAATCAGCAGCTGTGTTCAGTTGTGAACTGAGGGAGCAATGTAAGCTGAAGATGCCTACGGGCAGCCTACAGTGCAATATAAATAACCTAAATTCTTATGCGAATCCTGTAAACATTTACTTATCACCCAGCAGAGTGGAAGGGAAGGAAACGCCTGATGCTTCACTGAAAGCCCTGCAAGACCATGGCCCTTCTTACCAGAGAAGAAATCATGATTCAATCACACAGGATCTGCAGACTCCAAAGCCTCTTAAATTTCTAAGTAGTTCCATTTCTAAGAGAGCCTCAGAAGATCCTCTATGCACAAGGAGAGGCCTCAACCACATAAAAATGACAGAGGAGTGAGACCTAGCTGGGTACTTCATCTTTTTGGGCCCCTTCCTGTCCCCAGTCTATTCATCTACCTACTCCCTTTTCATTGCTTTTTTTCTTAGCACAGAAGCCAGCCTGGGCATCTATTTCTATTTTTCACCACCCTGAAGCCCATTCTGCTGGGCTCACAAACCTTTAAAGTTTTGTCAGCTGGTCCATGTACTTCATGCCCAGCATCCCTGTACACAGATGCTAACAAATTCCAACAAATTCCACTTGCTGCTGCTGAGCCTCACCCAATTCACCTTTCCTTGGCCCCAGTTAGCTGATTTATCTGCCTAGACAGGTGGAAAACTGCCTAGACTTGTCTGCAGGACAATTAAAGCTCTGCAACAGCAGCAGGAAGCAGCCTGTGCAGAGGGGGGTTGGGGAAAGGGATATACACACACTCTGATGATCATTTAAACCTGCTTATCTTCCTCACCATTTGGAGCCTAAGAGCAGGCGGGTGGTGTTTTAAAGCTGAGAATCTGGTTACAAAGCTAACAGGATTTCAGAGATCACCAGAGATTCAGAAATTCCCTTTATGCCCATTAGCAACGGCAGTTTCAAAGCACAGAAGTTTCATATACGAACACACAAACTAGTGGAAAGCAAGCACGAAATCCTCGGCAGAAGCATCCTAAAAAGAACAGATGTATCCCCAGTCCTCCAGCTTCTAAGAAATACACATGTATGCACAGACACACGCACAGAAATAAGCATCTAACTATTTTTTCAGAGCTGGAGAACTTGATTCTGCTCTTTACTCCTATCTCTTGGGAAGTCCTAAGGCAAATTGGTACTTTTTTTCCTACCTTGCACACTCCTGCACCCTGCACAATTACTGCAAGGTATTAAAGGTTTACCTTCCAACTTGGTCATCTCATTACACACACCCTAACAGGATGGGTTCCCATTTTAACCACCGGAACAGATTCCTGTGGTGTGTGTTCCTGGAGACACAGCTCTTCAGCCCATGATCTCGGCTACTGAAACAATTCTGCCATATCAATCTCTCAGGAGAGGCAAGGAGGCATTGTCAAGACAGAAATAAAATTCCTACTTACTTTATACAGCCAATGATGACCTGAGTCAAAGGATAAATCAGGGGCTCCATGACTTCGCTGGGATAGATTGTGCTGAGAACTCGACACCAGAAATAGAGGCAGTGAATATATTGCCAGTTATAAACAGACTGGAAATTCTCCTGTGGAAAGAGGGAGGGAAACAAAGGCAAACTTGAAAATCAGGCCTGGGAGCAGTTCACTTTGGTTTTTTTCCTATCAGACTCCAATTTTATCCCTTGTCCTCCAAGGGGACGGGATTTAACGTTCAGAGAGGGAGAGCTAATATTCTAGCTACTCCTGGTCTCCCACAGGTAGCAAGGCTGGAAGGCACCTCTACAAAAGCCTTGCAGTCTGCCTTATACACACACCAAAGAGTGAGGGGAAAAACGAAAAAAGAAAAAGAGTATGTAAAGCTACAGCACAGACTGAACACAGAGGGAAAAATCTAGATGATTTTCCTGCAAACTTGGGTTGTTCTAACTTGCAACTAACTTGTTTGTGCAAGTCTTCTGGTAGGAAATGAGACTGCTGCTGGACAAGACCCTCTAGAAAGTCACTATCTGTGAGATGTATCGAGGTCTGTCCTCACCTTCCCTTGCACAAGAGAAAAGCAGACTGCTCTTGTAAGCCACCTTCCACAGCCACCTACTGCTCAGTTTAAATTAGCTTGTTGCTGGGATTTGTGCATTTTGGTCCTGCTAATGACATTTAAAGTCCCCACATCCCTCCCCAGCTATGAAATCAAGGAGATTTACATCTTGTCTGGGCCAGGGCTGAAGGTGCAAGAAGCCAGCACGATCCAATTAAGGAATATGCAGCCCAGACTTGGTTTATCCCTGTGTCTGAAGAACCAGGAGATTTAGCTGGTCACCAGTCTTGCAATGTTTGGAAGCAGCCAGACCATTAATCTGTAGGGGTCTGTTTGGTAAACATGAATAAAGCCAGGATTAGCAATCTCACTCAGATTTGGCAGGTCGGAGTGGAGGTGGCACAAAGCAGGGCAGCTCCCAAAAGGGTCCAGGCTGCTTTGTGCAATGAAACCCTCTGAACAGCACAGACAGGAAAATCAGCTACTGAGAAGATGGGGCAGAGGCACCAGGGGAATTGCACATCACAGGCATCATGAAGACCAACTCTGTAGTCATCATGGGAAGCCTGCCACAGCTGTAATTTTCCCTTTTCCACATATTTCCCACAAAAGGGCACTTCTTACACCCTGCTGGGCTCCTACCTTCTTCTTTATGGTCATGGCACTACGCAGGTGAATGGCAAGCTGACGGATGTAGATGAAGGCGTGCTGGTAGGAGGTGTGTGTATCCAGGGCATACAGCTCCGTCAGCGTGCGCTGCATGAAGTTGATCATGGGCAGGACGTTGGGGGACGTGAATCTGGAGTTCTTCACAAAGGCAATGTACATTTGCTGGGGGGAAAGAAGGACAAGACAGAACCTCATAAAAAAGCTGCAACTAGAACAGTCTTTCACCAGACTTCTCCTCAAGCATTACAAAACTGTGAAAGGAGTGTTACTTATACAAGTCTTTTGAAGGTACAGGGATAAATAACTGAGACCCTCCAGCAGGAACAGCCGTGAAGACACGAAGGATCTCGCTCTTCAGACTCACATAGTTTCTTCCCTGGATTATTTTCTGCATGTAGCCAGCATCACCTCTAGTTCCTGCCCTGCTTTGCAGGCTACATCTTGTGCCCCAAGGTGTTTGCATATCACCTGGGAAAGAAGAACTCAGGAAAAAGGAAGTACCGGGCTCACCTTGAGCAAAGGACTTAGGTACATCTCTTTCTTGTAGCGGCAGATCTTGTTCAGCACCAGGAAGGCCAATACTCTGACTGTCTCCTCACCTGTGCTCCACAGATGAATTGTTTGCTGGACAGGAAAAGAAAAAGATGCAGATAAGTCAAGAGACAAGGAGTCTTTCCTCATAAATGGAGACTTTGACACAAAAACACAGAGGAAGGGGAAGGTGACAAGAATGGACAATTATTGTCACACAATACATCACAAGAGAAACTCATACACTAGCTGGGAGACCACACAAAAGGTTAAGGCCAGTGTTCCCACGATGAGTACAGAGAAAAATATCCAAAGCTAGCACCTCTCGGAAGACACACACATCCCAAATCCAGGTTTAAGCTTTTGACTATAGATGTAAGTCTTAGCATCTGCTCCAGTCTCCTAGGCTTTGCAAAGATTCTTCGTCAACTCCTAGAAGACTATGCACTAAATAAAACCTTGGGACAGCACATCCTTTCATCCCAGGGATGTTGTCCGTGTGTCTCCCACTAACTGCACAGGATATAAGCAATATCTAAGGCATGACCAACTTGAGTTTAAGTAATTGCCCACAAGGAGTCACACTGCAATTCTGAACGTGAACACCACACTCCAGGTTCTCTAACAAAGCTACTAAAGATGCGCTTGATTCTGGCCAGGGGAGATCAGGGTTTGTTTTCTGGATTTATTTATTTTCCTTGGCACCTAAGCTAATTGGTTCTGATTTGCTATCTTCACTAATGAGCTCTAGAGAACCTAAAAGATTCTGGCTACACCACAGGGTTAGACATACTCTCCCTACTGCAGCATTTAGCAAAGACCTTTAGATACAAAGCATCATTAGTGTCAAAGGATTCCCAAATTAATCCAAGTGTTGTGTTGCTGCCCTCTATTTAAACATCATCCTGCTGCCTTCTTCTGCTCCTCCACGCCTCTCTGCTTTGCTGTGCTAAGCACTCAACAGTTTTAGCTAAATTGCTGCAAATATTCCACCCCCAGCTCCCAAGAGTGAAATATTATCACAGATGTATACCCAGGCTCAGCATACAGGCACAATTTCTCCATCTGGGATGAGCAAAGAGAGCGCTTCCCCAGAAGACTTCCACGTCACTTTGCAGAGGGACTAGCAGCAACGACATGCAGAGCCACGTGCCCATTCCCCTCATGTCACTGAGGAAGGGCCACATGGCACCTGGAAGGTCTGAGAGGCATTGATCCTTTCTGGGACCAAACGAAAAGCAAGGGAATAGGAATTCAAGACACTGGATTGTCACACTATCTAGTCCAAATACCATGAGAGATTAATGCGAAAGGGTAGAGAAAATACCTCAGATCTAAGTGACACACCACAGTGGGTCACCTTACCTTGAGAAGTACACGGCACTGCTTTGGAAAGGACAAATAGTAGGGAACTGTGGAGTTAACATGCTGAAGGACTGCTGCTCCGACAGAGGCTTCTGTTAAACAGGACAGGAGCTACAGGGAAAAGCAAAACACAACACCAGTCAGTCTGTAACCCCCATCACCTTTGCTATTTTCAAGGATTTCCATGGTACCAAAAGCCTGGAAGGGCTCCTCTCCCCATAAGCAAGCCCAAACAAGTCTCCCTCAGTATCAGGGACGGAGCATGCCCACAGCAGGGTAAATAACTTCCTCCCAAAATATATCTTTACAAATGCAAGCTCAGGCTTCTGGACTGGTATGGCTATTGGCATCCAAGTTCATACTGTGAAAGCTGGCTTGGGTATAAAAACTGCAAATTTGCAAGCTCAGATACCCAAGGCACAAAAACTTAATAAGAACAGTAGAAAGATGCAGCCTCAGCTACACAAAAAGGCACAGCAGCAAGACCTGAAGTCACCAGCTTCATAGCGGCCAAGAAGTCACCCTAAAACTTGAGTAACCGCTTCTTCAAGATCACCTGAGGCTACAAACATCATTACCTAGCTCAACTGCCTTCTTGATGGTCGGGCTCTACTTTTAGGCATGGTGTTGGCAGATACAAAAACCCACCATATCTTAAACAAAAGCCCAGTGATGCACAGGGTGAAAGTGTAAACACTGAAGTTGCTTACTTGGATGGTACAGCTCAGGTAGGCCTTTATATCCAGTCGCAGCTTGCTCCAAAGTGGGCTGGTAGAAGGGAGGACCATTCTAAAAATTAAAATAAATAAATAAAAGCTTTCTTCAGCAGCAGAAAGAACAGTGAGCTCACTTCCTTGCCACCGCCAGGGAGCTCACCACCAGATGGGAACCCAGAGTTTAGTTCAACTTTCCCTTCATCTGCAACAGGGAAATTAGCAATAACTGCCACAAAGATTACCCTGGAGCTAGAAGAATTTCTGAAAGATTGACTCTTTTTTCCCCTTTTACAGACAGGTTTCAAGAGCACATCTGGAGTATTGTTGGACTCCACAGGACAAGAGGGATGTGGAGCTGCTGGAGAGAGTCCAGCGCAGGGCTACAAGGATGATCAGGGGCCTGGAACATCTGCCCTATGAGGAGAGGCTGAGGGAGCTGGGCCTGTTCAGCTGGAGAAGAGAAGGCTGAGAGGGGACCTGAGCAGTGTCTAGAAGTACCTCAAGGGAGGCAGTGAGGACGATGGTGCTGGCCACTGACAGAACTAGAGGAAATGGCCACAAACTGAAGCACCAAAAGTTGCACAGGAACTTAAGGAAACATTTCTTAACACTGAGAGTGCCAGAGCACTGGAACAGGCTGCCCAGAGAGGTTGTGGAGTCTCCTTCTCTGGAGATCTTCAAACCCGCTTGGACGCAGTCCTGTGCCACGTGCTCTAGGTGACCCTGCGTGTGCAGGGGGTTGGACTAGATGACCTCGAGAGGTCCCTTCCAACCTTCAGCATTCTGTGATTCTATGAAGTCTGAACAAGCCCAAACAGTGCACTCTCACCTGCTGTTCTCAGGTGCCCTCAGACTTACTTTAGTTTGCTTTTTGGAGTTTTCAAAAGAAGAAGTTTCTGTAGGCAGCTGAATAGGTCCCGGATGCAGAATGACACCAGAGCATTGAACACTGATTTAAAAAATATATATATATATACAAAATTAATTAATAAAGCACTTGCAAGCTGTTTTCCATTTATTCCTGATTTCTCATCTAATCTGGAAAATCTCCCTGAGGAACCCAAGCCAGCAACTCCCACAGCAGAACAAGGGAGTTCCCAAAAGCTTCCTTGTCTTGCCCTGCAATTCTTATCTGAATGAGAGGATCCCAACTGAGTTTTCTGGAACAGGAGTAATCTCTCTGCTCTCTTACAAACAGCACGAGCCAGGACAGAAGCCATGATTATTACCACCATCACTCTCCACAAAAAAAATGCCTTTTTTTTTTTTTTTTTCTTTAACAGTTACAGCAATGGACAAGCAAGCTCCTTGCAGTACCTTGCATTAAACAAAGAAATTTCACAGAAAAAATCAAATGAGGCCTGTTTTGGACAAGGAAGGATTAAGAAGGACACGTGTTAAATGAAGCCTGTAAAAGGGGAAGTCAACTCCTGCCAGCACTTATCCTTATTGTTTTCCAATAAAACAACCTTCCCCAGCAAGTGACTTCCCTTCTTGCAGAAAAATATGGTAAAATCACCTGCAGCATCGGAAACTTGGAATTTGCTGGGATCAGCCCCACCATGGTCACCTTTAGTGGTTGCTACAGCTGCTTTAAAGGCTTGAGTGATTTCATGGAAAAGTTTTGGTGTTAATTGCTTCTGGGGAAAGAAAAAAAAAAAAAAAAGATTATTGTAAAGGAAAAAGCAAGCAGTACTCTAGAACTCCAAAGCACTTAACTGGGACAGGAGCACTGAAACGTACTTTGATTGCAAAATAACTCCACGTATTCCACATGCGGCCCAAACAAAAACTGCACACAAGTCACACTGAAATAACAAGATTTCTTTGAAAATAACTTTGTCACCACCTTCTCCAATTTTTTTAATGGATAAACCAAAAGTTGTTCTTTTAAAGGTCATGATGGATTTTGAGCAGTGTCTTAAGAGAAAACAAGCAAGTGCCTTGTATTCCATCTTTGTGCTTACCTCTGCAGCTTTTTTCCAATTTTCAACCATTTTCAAGCTCACAGGGATGAAATCAACTTTCTTCTTTTTGACCGTCTCCCGTTCTTCCTCTTCTTCATCGCTCGCTTCCTAGAAAAGTTGTTATCAAGAGTGAGAAAAGTTCTTTTTTAGACCCATTTATTACGCTGAATAGCAACTGCCAGTACTTGCAGGTTGCGAGAAAGGCAGCCAGCAGTTAGTTTTATTCAGGCTGTTCTCAACGCTACAAAGCAGCAACAATTTGTGGAAGTCACAGAGAAAAAAAAAAAAAAAAAAAGTTTAGCAATATAAAAAAACAATTGTAAGGGGTTGTGAGAAAGGCAGCCAGCAGTTAGTTCTATTCAGGCTGTTATCAACGCTACAAAGCAGCAACAATTTGCGGAAGTCACAGCAAAAGAAAAAAAAAAGAAAAGAAAAAATGTATAAAATGTGGATTTTACACACACTAAAAAGCAAAAAAACCCTACACCAGTCCTGCAGTTTTGCTCCATAAATACAATGTGCAACAGCCAAAACGTTAAGGAGAAAGCACATCCCTTGGACCAAAAGGCCTTCTAATTGGGAAAGAAGAAGCCAGAAGGAAAAAATAACACTCCAAGGCTTTTCTTTTGGTCTTAAATGTGCTCCATTCAGCTCCACAGCTGGCTTCGGGATTACCTGCACAGCTGCAGCTCATTTGAGCCACTATAGGCCCAAATACACCGAGTTTTGGCACAGCTGAGACATTTCACGTGGCTCTGATTAAACGGCCGGTACCTCCAGCGTGTCGGGCGGCACGTGCACCCCCTCATCCTCCTCCTCCTCCTCAGAGCTGTCCGAAGCGTCAAAATTCAGCAGCGTGCGGTCATTCTCTTCCAAAAACTTATAAAACTCGGGATCCCTCTGCTTCAGCCGCGACAGCTGGTCCTTGTGCTCCGACGCCTTCCCCTTTTTCCTGCGGGATAAGGATTAACGCGTGCTCGGGGCACAGCGGCTCCCACCCGCAGCGGGGGGAGCCCACGGGGGGCCCGCCGGCCCGCCC